ATGTACCAATATGACAGAAGAAAAGAGGAACAAGAACAACAATAGCATATGTGTATCATATGTCAGGCTTTCAATATCGACTCATGATAAAATTCAAAGATTTACCATCAATGAGACATAACGATTTTCCATACTTGATATACATCAATAAAGCGTTGGCCTAAATGGCACAGAAGACATACAAAATTCCAATTATCATTTTGCAAGAATTTACAAGCCTTTCATCCCTACATACCCCTTTGTCACCATCAGAAGTAATACTTGTCATGCTCTACATGGCCAAAGGCACGAAGCCAACACCAGAAATCTTACAAGTCATGAACTTTAATATTAAGGTAGATTTCAGGCTATTAGCCCTGTCTAACCTTTGGCCAATGCCATATAATAGAGTCATTCACTTACCGGGGATATGCTCTACACGGACAGAGGCTACATACCAATACCACTGTGAATCTGAGTTCTTTAAATGATCACATGGTCAGAGGTACAACTTTGCTATCAAAATAGTAGAAATAATAACATAGGAACATAACCCGGAATAATAACACGGGAAAGCATATAGAACATATAACACATAACATACAATTTTTCCTATATATTGAACTCACCGTGAATTAACCGAATAATGATATGATGATTCGGGCCACACTTCGTTTCTATATATAACTTTCTTTGACGAAACCGAGGATTTTAGTTAAAATCCGGGCTTTACGCGGGCAGAGTTTCAACTAGAGAAAATGATTTTCTCAGGAACTTTGGAGTGTCGGGACTTGCTTCAGGTGTCGGGGATGATACCGGAACTTCGGGGGGTGTTAGAGGGGCTTGGGAGAGGCTAGAGGGTGAATGAGAGTGAGAATTTGTAACACAAACCCGGAGTGCTCGATTTCTATTTATAGGCTGAAAAATCGACTCTCACTTCATGAACCATGTATGTTCACATCATGACGTTGATCCTGGTCATCCCATAGGCTTGTCGTATGTATTCTAGGCTCGAAACGTGTTGTTCACTAAGTTCACGTCGTGAATGCAATCAAATTCTCGAAGTTTGTGCTCCGAACTTCAAAAATCCATATCTTTCGCATACGAGCTCCGTTTTTGACATTTTTTTATATCCACACGTAGATGAGATTATTCTCTACAACTTTCATTTAGACTCTGTCGCCTAATTTTGACTTTATTTTTAATATTATATTATATTATATTTTTAACGGGTCGGGACAGGAAAAGTCAGTTAAATTTTCATAACCTTTTCATTCGACGTCCGTTTTCGTTTGTCTTTTTACTGTTGTACTACTATTGACGAGACCTTAGATTCTCATTTAGGTTGTGTCGGCTAAATATCGCTCGATCTTTATTTCGAGTGTTTAGCTGTCTACTGCTATACCGATTCTTTAGAAAAATCACAACTTCCTTATACGAATTCAGATTTGGACGTTCTTTTTATGAAAGTTCTCAGTTTAATGAATACTACGACTTTCATTTAGATTACTAAGGATAAAAAGTAGATTATCGAAAACTCACTTTTTACGTTATACGACATCGTGTCGGTTTTATCGCGAAACTTCGATTGATCATAATTTCTTCGTTATAACTCGGGTTTCGATGATGTTTTCGCCTAAATGTTTCTAACGAGATTATTTACAATTTTCAATAATAAAATTTTACTTATTTCAAATTTTATATTTTCGTTAAATTTCAATATTTGACTTTTGATTGGAATCTCATAAAACTTCTAATATTTTCTGAGTGATTTTAAACATAGTTTTACTTTATTTCTAGTAAAAACTATCTGTTAGAACTCAACACTCAAATTCATATAGTATTTTATAATATTATTCATTTAAACTAACAAACCACGATAATTGAATGTGTATGTTATAGATACTCACCACCTCGATCGGATAGAGAATCTTTATCTTCATGTCCAATTGATTCTGCACTTCTTTCTTAAACTCTTTGAACTTTTCAAAAGTTTCTAAATTATGCTTGATTAAGTAGATATACCCATATCTGCTTTAATCATCGGTAAAAGTCACATAGAAGCGGTTTGCATCCCTTGTGGTGGGTCTAAAAGGACCGCACACATCGGTGTGTATAAGATCCAATAATCTGTCACTCCTTTCACAAGTACCAATGAAGGGTGACTTAGTCATCTTTTGAAGCAGACAAGATTTGCACATGTCATCCGACTTTTGGTCAAATGACTCCAACAATCCATCCTTTTGGAGTTGGTCTATGCGCTTCTTATTGCCATTTCCAAGACGACAATGTCACAAGTATGCCTTGTCCAAACCATTGGACGAATCAATATGCAACATATTATTTCCTAAGTTGTCTACAACCATCACAGTTTTATATATACCATTACAAGGCAATGCTTCAAAATAAAAAGTACCATTATAAAAAGCATTAATAGAACCAATTTCATTATTAAACGAAAATCTAAAAATTTGTTTATACAAACCATGAAATGAAATAATATTCCTTGTCATCTCTGAGGATTAGCAACAATTATTCAACTCTAAGCCTAACCCACTACTAAGAAATAATGAATAAACTCCAATTTTGGTGACATGCGATGCTTTCCTATTCCCCATGATCAAGTTCATCTTCTCGTGCTCCACATCCCTACTTCTTAGACCCTGCAAATCAGAACAAATGTGAAAACCACATCCTGTGTCAAGGACACAAGAATAAGCATGTGATGAGTTATTATATTGAATAGTGTAAATACCCGCGAATGTGGGATTTATGTTCCTATCCTTTATATATTGTAGATACTTTGGGCAGCTTCGTTTCCAATGCCCCTTGTCGTGACATTAGAAGCACTCTGCATCTTTCGGATTTGACGAGGAGGCAGCAAGACTACCTTTGGTTCCGCTTGAAGAAGAACCATCGTGAGACTTTCCCTTGTGGTTCTTAGAAGGAGCTTTCCATTTATTCCCTTTCCCTTATCCAGTAGCCAGGACAGAGGGATCAACAATAGGAGTTGATTCAACAACTTTGCCTTTCAAGCCGATTTCAGTTGTTCTTAACAACCCTTGGAGCTTGCTCAAGGTCACCTCGTCCTTGCTCATATGATAAATCATCTTGAACTGCTCATAACAAGGAGGTACATAGTGGAGGATAATATCAATGGCCAACTCTTCATCGAATTTGACATTCAAATGAGTAAACCATCCTTGTATCTTTGCATTCGTTGCAAGTAGGTCGTGATGGACTCTCTATACCTCATTTTGGTTGTTATTAATGAGGCAACTATCTCGTACCTCTCTTGATGTGCACTTTGATGGTACTTTTCCATCAAATCTTGGTGCATATCATAAGTCCAATAGTTTGTGTAGAACTTTTGAAGCTCAAGACTCATAGTAGCTACCATGATGCACGACACCTTTGTTAGCTCTTTGCATCGAGCCCTATACTCGGTGATTTCTTCGAGAGTAGTAGTAGTTTCGTTGATCTCGACGAGTTATTTTTCGAGAATCTCTTCCTTTTCCTTGTACCTTAGGGCTATGCGGATATTTCTAATCCAATCGTTAAAGTTGGATCCATCAAATGTGACCCTATATAAATGCCCAAAAGAGAAAGTGGATTCGAGGAGTTGGCGTTGGAGGAGTTCGAACCTGACATTTGAAAAAGAAAAGAGATAAAGTTTAGATTAGATAAGAATCCTTAATATAACACCCAAATGGAATATTAAGGCTAGGACCCAACACAATATTCTACAATTCGGAAGAGGGATGTCGTAATCCAATTGCAAAATATTTGAAGGTAGGTAAATGACGATTTACCAATTTCCACCATGAAAAGAGAAAATGAACATTAGGTTTTAAATGAATTGAAATTCCTAGATTCTTTGAGATTCATTGAACTTTACAATGACATGTTTAAATCTCGATTATGCCCTTCAATTTTGTGCATGTGATACCGATGATCACAAACAAGGTGTGAATTACCATGCAAATGTGTCTGGTACTCTCGATGTCATTTATCACCTAATCAATGTGCTGGTTAACCATACATGCTCCATTGAACTATAATAAACATCGAATACCCTTTTCTACCCTTGTTAGTCCAAGTTAGTGTGTTGGTTAATCACACAAACACACTCCACTAACAACTTGGCATGGTGCAAAGTGCAATTTCATGGAATAACATCATTTTCACATTTTTCCTAAAGTAACTAAGAATGGGAATTTATGAAAGCATTTAGTTACTTCATTATAATCATTATACTTATTTATGAGGAACTAGTTGTCCTATCCAACCCTTTCGGCTAATGACCCTCCACTAGTGAAGAGTGTGGTGGGTAAGAGTGGATACCCAATGACGATCATTTTATAGGCCGCTTCCTTAAACACCTAATAAAGGATGAAAATTCAATACTACAAGCCCACTTAAAAGCTTAGCCTAAGAGTACTTTCATTCTATGAAAATCCTATAGCTTGGACAACTGACCACAAGAGCTTGACATGGCAAATGTCAAAACTACCTATTTGACCATAGAATATCCTCAACCTTTTCCAAATTTTGCAATTCGATCAGTAGACTACAATCTCATACATATTTCAAAACCATGACACATACTACTTATTTATCCAAAAGAAGACGCTCTTATTCTAACGATGCTACCTTAAGAAATGGCACTTATCTTCACGACAATCTCAAAGCTTCAGAATAAAGATATAAGACAAACTAAAAGTAGGCTTGTAGGAGGGGGACATGAAAGGATTATGCATGCAAAACACGACATTACATTTAAAGATCAACATATAATTGGTGTTACATAGTCAACGATCAAGCAATATATGTCGTAATACATATTACCATACACCTACTTAAATCAATACATCATCCCAAGTATCAACACAAACACCAAGAAAAAACAACTACGCACCCAAAATATATAAAGAAAAAGGGGAAGAAAAACTTGTTCAAATTCAACAAATCAACAATTACCCACAACCATATAACCAACCTCATCCCACACACTATACCTTTCAAGACTCATTGTTTCCACCATGACCACTTGTAGAAGCAACATTCCCACCAAGACCATCAACCAATGTGCGCAACTGATCAACACTTGTCAAAGGAAATCCAAAATCAGATAAATATTTAGTGCAAAATAAAGCTAAAAATGCTTCTTCTGTTTTTTGCACATGAGAAGGGTCATATAACAGAATATCGGTTTCATGAAGGGCCATCTTAAACTCATTGTTCATCATCTCACAACCAGCCATCCTACCAAAATCCACACAAATGGATTGCAGATCACGGTTAGCCTAAAAAAATGATGATTCGGTGACAAGTTTGTCAACTAACTTCGCAACCCCATGCGACAATACCCAAGTCACATCCACATTCACTTTGTTCAACTTACTCTCTAGCCCCACCACAATTGCTTGCAAATCAGTATTCTGCAGGGCAGACTCATTCAAGTCAGTTTTTAGCTTGCAAAAACTATGCTCTAACATAACTATCTTATCTAACAACCCAGTCTTCTCCAACTCGATAGATGCCACTGTGGCCTTTAACGTCGAAACCTCCTCGGCATCATCATCATACCCTACTAGTTTGCTCTCCAAGACAACTTTATCGTTTTGCACAACGGCTATTCCATCTCTCACCTTATCCACCTCATCCTTGGATACCACCCCTACATTCGACATAACCTTTTCCAACTCATAAATTTTTCCACAAGCTTCATATGTTGATCATGAAACAATTACATGTTATAAGCAACCCCTCTGGACAACACCACAAAAGGTTTAATTAGATCCGATATTGTCTTGAACTCATCATGCAGGATATGATTTTCTAAGTGAAACGACTCCTTCCCATCAAGCTACAAAATGATCTCTTGGCCTAGAGCCATATTCTCCATAAGCTTAATCTTATACATGTAACAAACGTGCTACCTACGACCCTGGAAAACACTTGCATGAGTCCCGGGAGTAGCAAAATTCTTAATGAAATACATAGCAACCTTTGGCTCCATCAAGCTCTGATCCCGCCTATATTCCCAAGAAGGAATATATACAGGACCTACCGAGTGCGAATCATCGACATCAAGAGGTGGACAATTCATATTTAGTTGAGACACATATGACAAGGGACGATTAACACCAAGATTGCTAGCAAAATAAAAAAACATTGAATTCCAAGGAACGAGACCTCTTGAGGACCCTACCACTGCTACCTTCTCAGCATGAAAGAATAGCTGCCATAGCAACAGAGGTTGCAAAATCTATGTCTCTCTTACGCTGGATCAAGGGTTGTTCACTAGTTCCATCATCACCATCACCTTCAACATTAATCATAGGCCTAGTAATATCAGGGGGAGTCTAACCATCATTTGTGTCATCGTAAGAATCATAACCCCTAATCTAAGCATCAAAATTCTCTTCCGCCCCATCATGAGAATTATTATAATTGCTACCACTCTAGGTAAAGCTATCATCAAGAACTGGAAGGTCAAAAAACATAATAAAAAGCAAAAACACAAAACAGTTTTGTGGGAAGAAACCTACACCACGAACAAATAACGACGGAATAATGCCAAGACGCAACCCATATGGAGCCATACCGACTTTCCCCAACACGGCCTCGGGGAATTTCTTCATCGTCACATTTAAACATGAGATCTTGTCTATATCTTGACTTAAGTCACTGATCCTAGCGAGCTTTTGGTCGTCAATCATCCCAGGAAGGTGAAATTCGTTTCTATAATGGAAGCATGAAGCATTCAGCTTTATAAATTCATTTTTCTAATTTTTTTTCGAATCTAGAAGACCCTCAATAAAACTACGTCCCCTTGAATGAAAATAGTACCAGGCCCTATTGCTGCAAATGTGAAAAAAGTACTGGAACAGAAAATAAAAAGTAGGAACGGCCAGGAGGTATGGCACGGAAGTTCAAATAAAATGATTTTTGAAAAGGAATTAAGTTTATGTTGGCAAGTATGGATCTTGTACACCTCAATAATTGAACCGAAGAACGTCGAAGGGGGAACTCGCAGACCGGTCTCATAATAGTAAAGATAAAAACAAACCTTACCTGGTGGGGGGCGATTAGTGATGACATTCACATCGTGAAGAACAACACCATCTTCTTCAACAAGATGATACTTTACAGTAACCTGGTCGAGCCACTCATGGCTGGCGGTCGAGTGAACAACGAGCATCATCAAGCGATACATTCTTTCATAGAGCATACGGGGATTTAGGAAGGAGAAAGGGCAAAAGGAATACGAAGGATCAAGAAAAAAGAATAAAAGGACACAACTAACAAAGATTTGACAAGCATTTATGACTTAGAAGGCAGAAAGCCAACTGTGATTCAGAGGATCTCAAGCACCTACAAGGCTACGATCAGTCGTGGGCACATGGACAAGCGAAAAAGCTGTCAAATGGGCTGAATGAAAAAGCAAGCTAAAGTAAACCACTTAAGACCAATTATTATACATCGGTAACACTTCATATCAATTAGGCTGGGGGGATTAATAGGGTAGGGCCACTAACCCACATAAAAGCAGGTTAGTCGAGCAACCCGACCTGTTTGCCCAGATCATCAGCATCTACTTGAGTGTCGAGCACTAAATCAAGAATCACCCTATCATCGTACATACCCCATTTAGTATCTACATGAAACTCGGGAAAATAAAGACTATTTTAATAGAAAAGGAGGCTCACCATCGTAACTGGAATATTAATACAAAACCCAAAAGAAGATGCCAAAAACTGGTCCAAACCTTTGCTATAAGAACCAGTCTTCACTGAAAGGTAAGACAACAACATTTTAAGAAATTCATATACAATTAAAGCATTAAACATGACTTCTAACTTAGATGTTGGAGAGCAATATCAGGGGTCCTCCCTCAGTATGACTTTCTAACCTATACTTGTCACATACCACGCAGCGTGCTACCTGGACTGCTCATTGGAAAAGGCTTTAAGAGGGACTACCACAAGCATCCAGGGAGCTACGTAGCAACACAGTACAAAACAACCCCTAATCTACAATGAACAATAAGAATAAGCACAATTTCATGAGCTAAACCACCAAAAGAAAAAAATCATTGGGGGGGGGGGGGGGAGAAGTAGCCTTCAACCAAATTTTCGACCACAATACCGAGAAAACTAAGATGCACCTTGGAATCTCTCTCAGAGAAGCAATGAAACATTCTGGGATGAAAGGGCCAACAACAACTGAACACAATTGATCCCAAAATCACCGAGGGTAAATTGGTAACAAAACCACGAATAAGAGGCTCTTAGGACAACATAAAAAATGAAAAACAACTCGACCAAACAACAGCATTACAAGCAACAAAAGTAGCAATAGGGAAGAGAGAGAGCATAAAGAATAACCAGAGACAAAATTGTGAAAACCTGAAGACCCCACATACTATGAGCACTCACCAACAACAAAAAAAATGTATAACCCAAATTCTCATCCATTGGTGCTAAGACAATATTATTTTCAAAGAGTAGACCCACGTATGTTCAAAATTCTCGCATATGAGCTCGCCTTAAATGTAAGTTGTGAATGCCTATAAGCACACAACAAAAAGAAAACAAACACACACGAGACATACCCAGCCTAAGTTAATTCAGACGAAACCAAAGGTGAAAGGAACATCCATCATGAAAAAGTATCTACTTGCACATAAATTAACTCCTAGAAAATTTCTAGTCCTAATGAAATGAAGACTCACACCATAACACACACCACTATGCTTAGAGATACACCCTAAGGCTACACCAACATAAATGCATGTATTCCCCCCACCCCCCACCACACACACACACACACACATTCACTGACAAAACAAAGCAACAAGAAAGAAAAAACGCCATCAAATCCACATCAAGGACCTAATTACACTAAAAAAAATAGCATGAGTATATATACTTATGTAATTAAACTTTACACGCTACTAGAGGAGAAAACCTCCATTTTAGCCAATCCAAGTCAAACCTGTTTCCTATGTATTTCATCCAAGAGAAGAATGCCAGTTGAACGTCGTCATCCAACTTGCTGATTGCTTTTCTTTTCTTCTTGAATACCAACTCGTTCCTAGTTTTCCATAAAGCCCAAAAGATTACCCAAAAATAGAAAGTATAACTTTCTTTCAGTTTTCACTAGAACTCAAGATTTTGTCAACAATTTTAATCAACTCCGATAATGAAGATTTAGGCCAAGAGTTGATGCCAATCTACTTAGCAGACCAAGCCCATACCCTCACTGTATATGATCATCTCAAAAAACCGTGCTCCACCTCTTTAACAACAAAATTACATAATGGATAAGATGTAGAGCTAATTTGTATATCTTTTTGCAAGAGGTTAAAATCTAATGGAATCTTATTTAAAAACATCTACCAAATAAAACAACTGACTTTGATAGGTAACCACCCATTCAAAAGAGATAATAGGGGTTGAGGAATAATTGAAGCTTTATCAATATGAACTCGAAGAGATTTGACTGAGAAAACCTTATTTTGAGTCTACCAACGATTCCTAAGTATCATTGGTGTCTGGAAAGGGAATAAAATGAGATAGGTTGTCTTTAAGCATAGAGAATTCCCTTTCCTCAGCACCTCTCCTCAGTTCATGTTTCCAATTCCAAGACCATGTCGCATTAAAGTTGTTCGAATTCACTATCTTATCAGCAATAAGAGCGTTTTTATTATTTTCAATCATGTAAAGTCTAGGAAACAAGTCTTTTAGAGGCGCCTCCCCAATCCAGTGATCTTTCAAGAACATTGTATTGTTTCCACTCCTAATCTTTTTCTTAAAGAGTGTAGGAAGATTCACTCCGTATTCAATCAAGTCTTCTGAAAATTTTGAAATACGACACCAAAGCCTAGGGTTAGCTTGTTTTAGTCATTAGAGAGTTATCATGTCGATTTATCCATGAATGAGACAAATCGCCTTTGACCATAAACATTTTTTTGTCAAATTTAATTCTTCACTTCGATTGTTTAGTCATTAGACTTTGCAAGCTTGTTATCCCAAGACCTCCCAAGCCTTTACAAGTTGTGATTTTTTGTCATGCCACCCAATTAATCTTTTTCCTCATCACGTCTCCGCCCCATCGAAAAGTCCTTCCCAATAACTTTTTTGGGACGATAAATATAAAAAAAATAATAATAAGGTAGGAATCCAAGAACCGATTTGACCAAAGTCAACCTACCACCAAAAGAAAGATTGAGTTCAAACTTTTGCATTTTTTTCATATTTACACCAATAGGGACTCCATGATAAGTGAATGGTAAATCGCAAAATTCATCGTTTTAGCCAGTTCCAAATTAGAAATTCCAAACCCAAAAACTGTTTTCGACACAATTGTGTCTTTTATTTTGAATAAATATCATAATGAAGATAGTATACTAGTGATTATTTAGGATTTAAACATTTGAAAATAAAATGAGTTCATGATTGAAGTGACACGTGTTAAAAAAATATTTGAGTAAATATATTATCTACAATAAATTATTTACATTTTAATATCTATTTTTTTTAAATGATAAATCCAACTTACTCCTAAACTACACCTTAAATCCACCTATATCCATAACAAGACTTGAACTCTCAACCTCAAAGAGGGAGAGTAACACCGGATAAATATGTGTTGGAAGATATTTTAGAATGACTTATTTGCAAGCGATCCTACTTGTATAATTGAAGTTGACAAGTTTTACTTGCGTGCGAAAATAGGAATAAACCCATGTACTCGTATATTTAAACATATAATGATGGACTCATGGACTCTTATACCATTTCAAACTTTCAATTAATCCAATATAAATCTTACTTGACAAAAGCCCAAAAACCTAGTGTTCTATTTTGGCTTCAAAAAACATATAATCGAGCCAATATATTTTAGCTAGTTGTTTACAGGCCTATAATTTGAAATCTTGGACCCCAATAAAATGATGCACTATTTGAATAAAATTAACATCGACATTTTTGATCTTATAATTCTTTTGGGTTATGTTTGAATATTTCATTATGGATTATCTTTTAATAGGTAGATTGTGAACCATCGTAAAGGAATAGAGTTTATTTCGAGATTTTAGTAGTAATGGGAGTTGAAATTATATCCCAAACTTATAATTTTTAATTTTTTTATTATTTTATTCATAGAGCCAAGTCGATCAATTAAATGGTAAATTGGATATAACAACGGTCAGTCCGTTGATTTTGAAGACCCTAGACGAAAAAAAAAAGTTAGACCCCTAAAATTTTGGATTAGCAATGGATATCAACGTGTTAGCGACAAATTAGGACCTATAACAGATTAGTGACGGAGTAGCGATTGGTTAGCGACGAAATATAACAGAATCACGACAAATTAAATTTTTAGGTGCCTTACGTCTCGGATCATGTTCAGTCGTACACCTGACATATGCTAAAGGTTGGCCCTGGGTATAGTAGTAGTCAAAGAACTTGTTTTAAAATCAGTTTAGGTTCATAATAGTAAGGTATTAGTTGTGAGACTCATGTATAACATTAGTTAATTTAAAAAAAATTAAATATAAATGTTTAAATATTTGAGAACTTTAAATTTATAAGAAAATAAGAAAAATGATGAATTATTATAATGAAATGGTTTTTATCTTTTAAATTTAAACAAATAATTTAAATAAATAAAAACAAAAAACTAATGAGTTTTAATTTTGATAATTTTGAAATTAAAAATGTAAGTTTATTAATGATATTGATATTCATTTATTACTACATTTATTATAATTAATACATTAAAGTATTATATGTAATTTATTAAAATAAAAAAAACCAATAAATGACATTGAAAAAGAAATTAATTTAAAATAACCATAAAATGACATTTAACAAATTAAATAAGAGTGTGACATTTAGCAAAAAAAAAAAAAAATCATTTATTAGAATAGATAACATTATTTACTAGGAACAACTAAAATCAAGATTCAACTAATAAGTGAAATGGAAGAAAAAGAAAGAAAAAAGACAAAAATAAAAGGAGATGAAAGCCCACATAAGAAATACATAAATGTTGGGCCAAAGCCGAAAAGAAAACCATGAAGATGAAAAGTGTCATATTATTATGGGAAGTGATTCGTACACAACAAATTTTTATCAGTTTTTTATTGTACACAACAATTTATGCATTATAGAGTTGTACAGTACATCATTTTAAAACATCAATTGTTGTATATGGAGAAAAATT